GAATTGATATAGAGCAACGGCAAAAAAATGCGAGGGGTTTTATTAAGCGTAACAATTACAGTTATGGGAGGATTAATTTATTTTAGTGTATTAATCTAATTTGTTTCCTTTTAAAAGTACAAAGCCTAATTTCCTCAAGAATTAAGAAGGGAACAATACATAACTACTACAATATAAAAACCACATTTCATAAATAACAAATTTCCTAAATACTTTCATAAATCATATGGTAAATAATAATAATATAAAATTTAATTTAATCTACAGTGTGCCAGCAGCAGTGGCGCGCTACTACGAAAAGTAACGAACTGCTGCACGGTAAGGCCAAATCATAGTGAAATGTAGTTCCAAAGCTTTACAAAGTTAAAGACATTGCCATGAAACGATTCTTCTTTCAAATTCATCTTCCTCAGGCGTGCTCGAATATTCATCCACGTTCTCCCATGAGCAAGAATGTTGCTGTAATGACAAGTGAGACTTTCAACAAGCCCGTCCAATAACACGACAATTTTGCCTACATTTCTAATTCTCAATAATGTCCCTGACTCAATGAGATTGGATTTCTCAATAATTTTGCCAGCACTTGGACCCCTATGTTTCTACATGTTTTTATTACCCCTATATTAGTAGTTACATTTTTTAATATTCTAAAGATGTTTTTAAAACTCCTAGTGGGACATTATTTGTATAAAATATAGAATTTTGCCTTTTATTTTTGTTTGTTGTTGTATGTGTTGGGTTGTGGCGATAGTATATGCAGATTTATTTGTGGGGACCCTTTGTAACCATGTATGTATTAATTGTGATTGATTGAGACCAAAAACTTGTTAATTGTGACTATATGTATTGTAGTAGAGTTAACTAAATCACAAATCACCAACATTTGGGTTTGGTTATTACTTGCTCACCCATAAATTCAATGGTTGCTGAATGCTCACCCACTTTTGAAAAAAATTACACATCCATCACCCGTTTCACTTCTATCCATCCAACTAGGCAAAAATCTCCAAGTGGCAGACGGAATTCCTACATGGCCACTAACACCGTTAATTATTGACAAGTGGCCACTAAAAATTGAATGAAACGTGACCCTTTTTCTCTAAAACACACTTTCTTTCCAAAAATTAGGCATTTTTGTATCTTCTTCCAAATTTGACTGTAAATTTTCCAAACCAAAATCTTATATAAAACTACATAAACATGAAAACCCACAAATTTTCTTGAAAAATTAACAAAGATAAATATTATGGGCAAATCTCCATTTCTCCCTTTTTATTCTCACGTTCTTCTATTTATTCATTCATTCATTCCGCAAATTCTTCATGCCCCATTGATTTCAATTATGTTAAACCTTCTCGTGGGACACGACCCTTTACCATGAACCTGTTCAAATTGATTGCTGCCAAACTCTTTGCAGAGTTTTCAGCATGGGATTTGTCCAATACCTCAAAGAAAGCTCAATGTTCTATCTCCCAATTGAGAATTCTTCATCTTCTTACATTGCCAACTTCGAAGAAAAGTTATCTAATGCATCCATGTTTCAAAATTCTTTCAATTCGTGCTTTAATGATACAAGTGAGTTTGTTAATGGGCTTTCAAATTGTGTTGGAATTACAACTACACAAGATTGGATAGAAAAGGTTGCATCATCAAGTCTACTGGATTCATCTTGTAATGAAGACTTGATGGGATTGACTCGTTGTAGTTTGTGTTTAGATGCAGGAATGCAAGTGACTTCATTCCTAGTTTCATTAGATCACAATTCCTCCAAATGCTTCCCCCATCACCATTTATTCCTAGTTGATGAAGATTCTTCCATGAGAAGGTATGGGAAGAGGCAAAATTTTCTGATTTTCGCCAATAAAGGATTTGGCGAAAATGAACTAGGTTTTAAATTGGGAAAATCTAAGTTGAACATTTGGAAGAAGATATGTTGTTAGGGGATAAATGCCTAATTTTCTGGGACGAAAGCGTTTTTAGGAAGGAAAAAAACGTTGTTTGGAGGAAAAGGGTTATGTTTCATTCAATTTTTAGTGACCACTTACTAATTATTAACAGTGTTAATGGCCATATAGTAATTCTGTCTGCCAAGTGTAGATTTTTGCCTAATTGGATGGATGTAAGTGAAACAGGTGATGGATGTGTAATTTTTTTTCAAAAGTGGGTGAGCATTCGATAACCGTTTATTTTTTGGTGAACAAGTAGTAATCGAACCTAAATGTTGGTGATTGATAATTTAATTAACTCATTGTGGTGCTGGTTTGCAAATTTATTTGTGGTGACCATATATCTGTGATTAAGTTTGTGTTAATTGAGAGCAGTTGTGGTAACTGTATATGATTAGATTTATCTTAATTGTGACTGTATGTGACCAAATTAATAGTGACTGATTACATACAATCACAAATTAGATTGATCTAATCACACACAGTTATATTGAAGATAAATATGATCACAATTAGTCACAGGTAACATCATCAATGACTTAATTACATACAAATGTTCTAAATTGTCACAAACTTTAAATGCAAACATATTTTGTCACAAACATTCATGGTTAATAAATGTTTGGTTACAAATGTCGCTGTTAACACAAACTCAGTTACATACAATTGCAGAACTTATTTCTTGATCACAAATTACAAAATGTATAGGTGGCAATTTATTTCATGGTTACAAATTATCCAATTGTTTGGTCACGAATTATTCTCAATCACAAAATTTATAGGTCACAACTTATTTCACAGTTACAAATTATTAAATTAATTGATCACAAGCTATTTTTCGATTGCAAATCACAAAATTTATAGGTCACGACTTATTTCACGGTCCCAAATTATCAAATTAATTGGTTACAAGTTATTTTTTTTTATTTTAAATCACAAATTTTATACGCCACAACTTTATTTCACCTTCACAAATTATCAAATTAATTGATTATAAATTATTTATCAGTCATTAAAATACAAATTACAGGTCACAATTATAAATTTAATCCCAAATCACACATTTTTAAGTCACACATTATTTATTGATTATAATTTGTTCGTTTTATTTATCACAACTATCCAACAGTTCGTTACAACCGCTCTTCATCTAAAGGAGAAAATGCACAAGTTGTGCATTATAGGTGACTATATTCGAAAATCCTATGCATTCAATGCTTCCAATACTTAATTTATCCACTCTATCCTCATTTCCAGTTGAATTAATCTTTGCTTCCACAATCAACATTGGACTCACACCACCATCCTTGTTTTAACTTCTAGCATATGACTATTAATAACATTTGTGTTATTTTTGCTAATCACTTGTACAATATCACCACTAAGATGACCTAAATTCCCACTATTTCCAATACTACCATCACCAAAAGGAGTCACATTCTCCCCACTACTATAGTACTTGACATAGATTTAAAGAAGAGTTCCATTAGGCATGTTTCTTCAGAATAAATGTATCAATGCATTTGATACCAAGCTGGCTTAACTATCACGGTATATGTCACGAACATCTGACTCAGCTAAATGTTCAAATGCTCTCAAGAAAAGAATATATGTATCTGAATTTGTTGCTATCTGTGTGGGATACGATATGGCTATTGTACTACCCAGCAAACTAGGAATTATAATGAAACTTGTTATTACCCACATATTGCAAAGCATCTTTTCCCTTTTCCTAGTGAACCCACTATGACGATAGCCACCTTGTTTGATCTTGATGGACCTGAAATTGGCTCATTTCTCACCCTAGACATCCTTGACAAACGTACGAAATTCTGTAAGGGAGAGAAGGCCTGTGGCTTTTGAGGTGATGTTGGTATAGGTGGTCGAGAAGGCTTAGGTAGACGTTGAATCTTCGTCGTCGCCCATTGCGGAGCAATGTTGGTAACATGAGCTGAAGGTGAAGGAGGAATAAAGAAAATCCGCATACAAATCAAGATCAAAGCAGAAGTCATCAAGTGGATGCTGAATCCAAGATGCTATCTCATCCTCCTTCACAAACAAAATTTGCGTCATCGTCATTTGTTCCACGCTACTCCAACTCGATTGGATTTTCCTAACCTTTGTGGGAATCACCGTCTCTCCTCCAACATCACAGTTCGCATCAGTTATGAAGTCCGACTTTTCTTCCAAAGATCGATAACAACAGTTGTTCTGCATAACTTTCTTCTATTGTCGGAGCCCAGAGAGAAATTGGGAGATGTTTTGGTGATAAGGAGAGAGAAATGGTGAGTCATGGGTTTAATAAATATTAAATAAATGATTAACCCCTGATTTGTGAAAAGAAAAGTTTAGGGGGTGTTCTCTTTGTATTTCAGTTTTGTGTTTTGAGTTTTGAATTCATTTTGAGTTTTGTGTTTTGAGTGTTTGTTTTGAAATTGTTGAAAATGCGTTTTTTTTGTTAGTTTCTCAAAACAAAAAAAAAACGAATTTTTTTTTTAAATTTTGAGAATCACCACAACACCACCTAAAATAATAATAATAATAATAATAATTTAATTTTAAATTTTTTTTGAAGTTTTGAGAAACACCACACCACATCCTCAAAAAAAAAAAAAAAAAAAAAAAAAAAAAGGGGGGGTTGGATTTTTTATTTTCATTTTCAAAAATTCGTTTTCGAAAACGGGAAAAAGAACACATTTTCATCGTTTTGAAAAATCGAAAACAGAAAACAGTCCGAAAACAATAAAGAGAACAGGGCCTTGAGCTTCGATATTTGAAATGTATACTTATAATGTAGGTTTTGGGTAATTTTGTCAATTAAGAATATAAGAAGCCCAAACAGTAAACGAGCCCAATCTCAAAAGAGAAGAATATCGGGAAAATTAGCCTAAACCCTATATATAAACTATACAATTCAAAATTAAGGTGGTATAGTTTTAATTTCACAAATCAGGTGATAATTAAAACTAAAATTAATAAATTAATAAATATCTTATTAATAATTATCCTAAATCTAATCAATTAAAATCTTTTCAAACAATATCATTATCATAACCATTCCTAATTATTCTCTCCACAGTCCCTATCTCCCTCAACATCTATCTTTCTCTCTCTATATTCTCTATCTTCCTCAACTAAACTGGGTCGGATTTACTGGTTAGAGAAAAAGGATGTGGTTAGTTCAACTGATTTGGAGTGGCGTAGGGAAAGTCTAAACTTACGAAGTTTTTTTCTTAATGTGATGATTTAGAGGAGCGTTGGAGCTGTATAGGTTATGATGTCACTAGATGCAACGGTGGATGATTAATTACGACGGCTTTACGATAGTGTTAGAAGGAAGGCCAGCAGCCGATTATCTCCTTCACCTATTCATCTGGCTTCGATCTCCATTATTCCCAATTTTTTCTTAGAAAGTAATTTATCTCTCACTTTCTTTTTTTATTTTAATTGCAACTGTTGGATTGTCAATTTGTCTCTGAACAGCTTGATTTTATGATTTGTTAGTTCCAATCAAATGAAGAATAACATAAATTAAATACGATACATGAATTAAGAGGTAGTAACTAATTAAGTTGCGTGGATTAGTTTTGACAGAAAGGAGAAGCTAATGGCATTGGGGTCAATAAATCTCTTTCCATGACTAAAGGGGTCAGCCTTCATGGCATTGTGGTGGTGAGATGATGATTTTTTTGGGTAGTGTTGATGGTGGCGGGCGAAATGGGTCTGATGAAGAATGGTTTTGACCAATTGTTGGGTAATTGTAACCAATAAAATGAATATTTTGTGATCATTAATAAATAATACGGGACCTAAAAATGTATGATTTGTGATTAAATTTATAATGTAACTTGTAATTTGTGTCTTTGAAATCGATAAATAAATCGTGATTTTTGTTGTTGGAGTGGTAGTCATGGTTTCCACATTTTGATGGTGTTGGGTTTTAGGGTGGTTTTTGTTGATGGTGCAGGTGGAGGTGATGGTGGTCTTTGCGGTGGTGCGGTGAGGATGGCGGTTGGGTTGACGGTGGTGGTGGTTATGAGTTGGATGGCGTGGGTTGAGGGTGTTTGTGATTGATTATTTGGTTGATTATGACCAATAAATTGGTTTACTTGCGACTAATAAATAATGTATGACTATTGTTTCGTTAATTGTGACCAATAGTCGGTCAGTTTAGAAAGAAATAATATATAATTTAAAATTGTGATTGTGACTCACAATATATTAAGTTGTGATCGAGAATTTATAACAAATAAATGAATTGTGATCAATAAAAGTTTTGATTTTGTGATCAATAATTGGTTAATTTGTAACAAATAAATAACTTGTGACCTAAAAATTGTGATTGTGACTCATAATTTATTAAGTTGTAAGGTAAAAATTAATTGTGGCTAATAATTTTGATAATTTGCAATGAATAAATGAGTTGTGATCAATAAAAGTGTTGATTTTGTGTCCAATGAATAGTCTGCGATCTATAAATTTTTTTATTTGTGACCGATAAATAATCTGTGACATATAATTTTTTTAATTTGTGACTGAGAAATAAGTTGACCAATAATTTGAAGAGTTGTGATCGAAAATTAATACGTGACATTAATTTATAATTTATGATCAAACTGTATAGAATTGTAACCTTAATATATTTAATTAATAAAATATATGTTTAATAAATTAGTTTATAAATAAAATTTAAAAAAAAAATCTGATTTTTGAAATTTAGTCATGAACACATAAGGTCATAGTTCATATGTTATGGGTCTCAATTCACGAATCACATGTTTGAGTTCACAAGTCACAGTCATTTCATATAAGTCACAAATCAGTATAAACGAGTCACAGATCAATATTAATAGGTCAATATCGTTTTGTAAAAGTCATGGATCAAATTTATAGGTCACATTTTATGTTACGAGTCACGGGTCACAAATCATAAGTTAAAAATCATATTTTATATGTCACAGGTCGCACGTTTATTGCCCAGAGAAATGAAAAAAAAAATTGTGGATTTAATATATTTAATTACAAAAATATATTTTGGATTAATTATTTCATAACTAAAATTTTAATAGTATTCAATTTTTGAAATTTCAAACTTTTTTTCTTAATTTTGGAAATTGATCATACGCAAATTCATCGCATCTGATTAGGTCACGGATTCAATAGAACTTGTCACTGATCACAATGTGCACAAGTTACAGATCTAATGGAACTTGTTACATATCATTGCCAAAAAAGAAGAGAAAATGAAAAAGGTGGTCGGCGGAAAGGTGAGTGGTCATCGAAAAAGTTGTCGAAACTATCGGAAAGTTCGTCGAAATATTTGCCTAACAGGATAAGTCGCCGAAAATTCGTCGGAAGTTGTCGGAGAAGCTGTCGGAACTGTCGTCGGAGGTGAGGTGGCATGGAGAGAGAAAGAGAAGGGTTTGATATGATGGGTGGATGGATTGGAGGTGAGGTAGGATTAGTAGATTAATTATACTAAATTATAATTAAATATTTAATAAATTTAATTATCACCTTATTTTTGAAAGATTTTTAGAAGTTTGTTAGTTTTGAAATGTGTTTTTTAAATTGAGGATTTACGTGGTATTCCCTAGAATATCAGAGTTAGTAGAAACCCATTACCCCAATTCTGTCTGACCCTTCAACATCCGGCAGCTAGAAATCGAACACCATTTTGCAGTCAAATTAGAAATCTTTGTTGTCCTCGTATTTCTACTTCTTCTCCGAGTCAAGATTGACAGAGTATTTTCTTGGCTGCTCTTACTTATATCTTGCACACTATTTTACTTTTTGGCTGGGCTTAAGCATTATTTTTGTGTACCTTCATATGTGGACTGTGGGGTTTGATTATGTTTGGAATTTATAATGTATTAAATTAATGTTTTCCTCTATTATTTGTGGGAGTTTTGTGTCACGTGGACAGTGGGTTTGATTATGTTTGGAACTTGTACTGCATTACATTAATGTTATGCTCTGATTTTTTGTGGGGATTTTGGGAATTTAGGACCCAGTCAAAATTGATTTCTGTTGAAGAAGTTGTAACTTGTTCTATCTTTGAAATTGGACTTTAGAATTGAAGGAGTTTAGTATTAAAATGCAGCTGTCCGGCCTTTGCTATGTTTTATTTTAGTTTGCATTAGAGTTAATGGTCTTTTAAAAATTTTCAGGTGTCTATAGTCTGTGGACTACTGAAAATAAATAGAGCATGGCTAACAAGAGGTTTGATTCATTTTGCACAGAAAAAACCTTCGAAATTCATTGTCCTTGGTTTTAAGTACTCACTATTTCGCCCCCAGATGTAAATCCTGGCTCCGCCACTAGCTACGCGTAAATTAATCAAGCATCTCAAGTAGGAAAGTCTGTACAGCTCTCAAGTTTAGATCCTATTGAGTTGAGGTTCTTTCTGGTACTTTCCATTCTTTAATCCTTGTGTTGTATTCATGAAATTTGCCATTTTACTTGTTACTTACCACATTGCTATCAATATGTTCGATTAAATGCCCCTGAATGAATTAAGTCCATTATCAAGAAATCAAAATAGTGTTTCATAAATTGGATCAGGAGCATATTATGGGTTGACAACAAAACTGTATGATTTGTGATTCTCCTTCTCAATTCAATTCTTTGTTTCTATTATTGTTTAGTCTCACTAAAAAAGTTGTTTTTAATCAAGTTCCTGTGTTTTATTTTACCTTTTCTATAGGCATAGACAAGGTAGACGCTGGTACTGTGATATATATGGCTGGTAATAAGCCTCGTGTTGGTAGCTTCTCGCGCAATTTTACCGCTGCATCAAATACAATATCGCAGATTCCTGGGCTTAAGCATGGTCCAAACGGCACTATGTTTCTTTCATCTGGAATACTGGATCTTGACAGTAATTTCTTTTCAACTTCTGTATGAATGGAAGTATGCAATTTGTTCCATCTCATAAAGTTAATTGGTTAATGATTTTTGTACATAAAATGTGACTTGCAGAGATTTTGGGAGGTGGATTTACGTTGGGAAGTCTTGTAATGGTTATGGAAGATCCCGAGGCACCACATCATATGCTGTTGATAAGAAATTTTATGTCTCAAGGGTTGGTTCACAATCAACCTCTTCTCTATGCTAGTCCGGCAAAAGATCCTAGAGGGTTCCTTGGTACTCTACCGAGTCCAATGTTCTCAAAGGATGAAAAATCTCGTGACCGTGATGCAGAACAGGTGCCCAGCGTTTTTCGTTAATCATACTCTTGAGCACCCGAATGTTAGTGCACATGAACTAATGAACATAGTGTTGGCATCTCCTGGTGAACATTTGCTCTATGTACTGAATTGTAGGAAAAGGGCTTGAGGATTGCTTGGCAATACAAGAAGTATTTTGAGGAACAGAATTCAGAGTTCCAGAGAGGTTAGCATACTCAGATTCTGCACTGTTCTCTTATATTCTCTTTTAGTTTCTTGTCGTTTTGATCTCCAGAATGATATTTGTTATCTGTTATAGGATTGTGTTTACCAACAGTATTTTGGCAGAAGCTCATCCTTGGAAGTAAGAAATAGAGATCTAACTAAAATGAGTAACTCGTTTATCCAAATCAATAGTCAAGGTTGATCTATTATTATGCTTACAAAGAGAACCATTATCAACGTATATGATACAACTGTATTATGGATGACTAGGTAGGCGTGTTTGCTGAACACAGCTAGTGAGGAAGGTTATGTATGAGAAAGGTCTGGGGAGAGTAATAACGGTTGATCAATTCAAATAAAAGAAGCGTCTGCTTATTTTAACAGTGCTAGGTGGACATAGTGCTTTGCATGTAGCTAGTGTTCCATGTGTGAGTGGATCCTAAGTTAACTGACTATTCTTATATGAAATAATTGAGAAAAATCATTAAATTACTCTTAAAATAGAGCTGACTAGAAAAAAGTTTTGATTGAATACAAATCAAGGAAAGAAATCAACTATGTAAGTTTGTTACTTTACACTTATACTACAAATTGAGCATATAATTTTTCACCTTATATCCTGATTCAGTATGCATAGCAATTTATTGAACCTCTTTTATTTGAGGAAGTTGGATCTCTTAATCTACGTTGATCTCCCTTTTATTTTTTGTATTCTTCTATTGTTTTGCTTGGAAACCTAACTTGAGTCTGATATTGGAATTCTTCTCTACAATGATACTTGAAGACAATTTTTTGGCTATTTGAATGATCTCATCTGAAAGGATATACTTCAGGAGTCGAAGAAGTGGATTTTAGTTTAATTAATTTTTCTCGTCACTTCATATTATAAAAATCAACAATGACAATTACAGAGAGAGAGAGAGATGGAATTGTAATAAATTCTAATCATATTAGAAGTATTTGACCTTTAACTGGACGTTAAAGGGACTAGCACAAACATGGACATGCGAAACAGTTGACGCGTAATTTTTCAAAATGGTAGGACACAGACTTGTCAGGACACGTTGAATTATATTCTTTAACTTATTTTGCCCCTTTTTGATCCCCAATTTTGGCAAAAATGCTTTTTAGAATATGATTTTGTTGCAAAATGTGTTGTTAAAAAATAAGGAAAAGTTTTATGTTTGCGTGTACAATTATTTTAAAATTATTTTATGGAGAATGTGTGGTTGAAAATGAGTTCTAAAAAAATAGGGGCCAAACACGGGTTTTTATATTATATCTTCATCTTTTTTTTTTTTCAAAAAAGTCACAACTTTTTTATCTTTGATTTTAGCAAATCAAGTTTTTTGAATTAAAGAAGTGGATATTTTTTATACCAGTATAACTTTGGGTTAAACTATATTTTACTACTACTGAAGAAAGATAATTGCATAATAAATAAAAATTTCCCTAATTTTAATTTTCAAAATATATAAAATGGAGCTTTCCATGCCTCGATGTGTTGAAGACATATACGTCTTGTATTAGGCTATAAAGAATATGAAGGTATGTTTGCCTTGTGTCTTCGAGGTCTGTCTTGGAGGTTTCCACCACACGTCCTAAACTTTAAAAAGTATCTGAAAAAATGGGACATGCCACGCTAGTAGAAGTATCCGTGCTTAGTAGAAAATGGATTTTATTTTTAAATTCTTACGTTTTTGTGTACATATCATAGTTAATTTTTAGCAACAATGGAGGTAGCTATATATGATACAATGATCTACATATTCAAGAAATTACGTAACTGAAACTTAAAGCTTAATTTAGGAATCCGTTTCTCGAAAATTAATGAGAAATTTGAATTTCTTTTAGAGTAGCTATTTGTGTCATAACCTATTCTCTTTGTACAGCACACTTATTCTTTAATTGGTTCTCCTATTGGTAAGAACTAAGAAGTTGCACAAGAAAAGATTGCACTTATAAATAAACAATTTTTAATGTACTGCAGATGAAAAATCTGAGTACTGCAATGATTTTGACTTGCGGAAGCCCCTAGAGAGGCACTTCTACAGTGGACAACAGATTGATTGCATTAGACTTGAAGATTCTGCTGATCTCACTACATTCCATGACCGTTGTTCGAGCTTCTTATCTCAAACTCCTAGGTAGTTGTTTAAACATTATAGCATGTATGAACAAGGCTCTTTGTACACTTGGTGCTTTCTAAAGAAACGTTTATGGGGGAGCTAAAGTTTTTGCTGTCAATGAGAGTGAATAAGATTATGAAGATCTTCGAAGATTACGGCTATATTACCATTATAATTGTACCATATATAGAACCAAAATCAAATTAAATATGGGTGGTGGAAAATATACGTAAAGAATTTAGGGGTTTTTGTATATATAGAGTATATGTATATATGTGTGTAGAGAGAGAAAGTTGTGTTCTACAATTGCGAGCTATCAAAAAAGACTGGCCATGAGAAAATCCAACCAAGGAAACGAGAGAAATTCAAAGGAATTGACTCTAATACCATATCAAATATATTCAATGAGACTCGATATCCCTCAATGTGAAAGGTTCTCTCATTTTATAGAACCAAAATCAAATTAAATACGGTAAAAGCAATCTATCTATATATGGTACAATTATAATGATAATATTGTCGTAATCTTCTACGATCTCCGTATCTTGTTAAATCTCATTGATATTTGCTAGAGCTTTTGAACTGTTAATGCAAAGTTCAGTGGAGTGTGGAAACATGTTGGACACATTATTTTATTGGTTCTAGTTGTAGCAATTGACAAGAGTAGCTGCAATATAATGAAAGCTAGCCCATGTTTAGTGCCCATTAGTTTTAAAAAAAATAAAAAAAAAAAAGTTGAATTGTATTTTTAGGAGAATGTGAGGTTAAAAAGTAGAGAAAAAATTTGGGTTTACGTGCAAAATATTTAATTTTGTGAATGTGTGGTTGAAAATGATCCTATAGCGAAAAGATATTTAAAACAATGGGCACCAAATAGGGGCTTAATATTATGTCGTAGTGTTACATTAAAGGAAAAAGAAATGCATGAAACAAAACTTAGAGTATGATCCTAATAACCAATATCCTACTTATTCTTCCATATTGCTATCTCTTTGATGTCCTATTTTTGATGTTAATGGTTCTAGCAACTGTAATTAATTCTGTGTATTTGATATGGTTATGCTAATTATTCAGTATTGATATTTTATAATTTTATTGGAATAATGAATCGTTGAGAAAAGTAAAAAAGATGACTGAACAGAGATAAATTGGAATTGTTTGTCAACTTGTTCTTGGATGATTCTGCTATTCTGATTGGTTGATTTTCAAATTGGAATTTTTGGTTTTTATATGTTGTCAGAAATGATAGGAACATTACATGTCCTGGTCGTATTGCCATTCAGTCACTAGGTGCGCCACAATGTGACTTTGCTGACAAGGTTAGGACTAATTTTCATGGAGTAATGTGATTTTTCTTTCGAAAGATTTAAGTTTTTATTAAATATTCCTAGACTGTTAGGAGGGTACTGGATGGACGACTGCATTTTTTAAGTTTGGCTGTTAAATTCTTTCACAAATGACCTGTGTATTATTTTGGTAGGAATGCGATATGCTTTCTTTTGTCAGATCTCTAAAAAACACCATACGGTCGTCAAATGCAGTAGCCGTTATCACTTTTCCGCCTTCCCTTTTTTCACCATCCTTTTCAAAGAGGTTGCAGCATTTGGCTGACACCTTGGTTTCTGTCAAAGCAATTCCAGGTGTGTGTTTGTATATGCGTTTTATGAGCTTGTTATTAAATATCACACCTTTTTGTGGGCTAATTATTTACAACCTATGCTTGAAATAGACGAGGACAAGGAACTGGCCAAGCTTCTTACAGGATATCAGGATATGGTTGGCCTCCTCAGTGTACACAAGGTGGCACGTATTAATACACAGGTTGCCTTTTCAGTTTGTTGTAGTTTTATTAGTTAGGTTGCTGTAGATTTATTACTTTGTTTGTGATTGTTTCTTTAAAACAAATTCTTTCCATTGGATGAATTAGTTGAATTTCAGGTCCCTAGTTAAGATTCTCATTAGTTCTTAAATGTAAACAGGTCCCCACAATTCTAGAGGCCACCACTTTCTCTATGAAATTGCAGAAGCGAAGATCGTTAATTTTGGAATGTCTAAACCAAGCCCCTATAGATGGTTCAAGCGGAAGCTCATATGCTTCTTCTGGAAGTTGCACTGGATCTTCTAAGACAGGGGCCCTCGACTTTTAGTTGGTACATGACTTCCCCTTCGTGAATTAGGAGATTAAGCTTATTGAATGCCACACCTGCACCAGTGTGAGAACGATGCACGTGTAAGTCAGATTTGATTCTACCTTCCTATTGCCTAGAATCTTATCCATTCTGCTATTAGTAAATTAAATATAAGGCAGAATCATGATCCGAAATGTTATTACTGATATGGAACAAGAGAAATATCATGCTTAAGTATGTCCTTTGGTCAGATAGATGAAATATACAACAGAATGATAATGGATTTTTGGTTACAAAATGAAGCCCTATTGGACCCGTATTATACTTTCATCTCCTTGATTTTATGGTGAAGAGATTATCTATAGACTTGTTCACCTTGAATATCTTAATATTTACAAAGAACCTATGAATAAAATTGTCTTTCTAACCTTCTACGTTTTACATAAAATAGGTGTGATAAATTATATGAAAGAAGAAATTTGAAGATGAAATCCTGTCATGTCTGTGTATTCTTTGAAGTAATGTTACTCATTGAGTTGAGATGATCATTGATCTCTATGAAACTATATTGACTCCTCATTTTACTTTGAAAATAGCATTGCTTATTCTTTTATAAGAGTGCTTCAAGAGATTCTCTCTATATAGAATATCTTTAAATAGAATTTATACACTTCAACATTGCTCTTTATATTGACTCCTCAATAGCATTATTCATTCTTTTGTAAGAGCGTTTTCAAGAGACTTGCTATTTATATGGAACATCTTTTATACGCTCCGACATTGCTCTTTAAATTGACAACTCATTTTAATTTTTGAAGGAAACATTTATTGATTTCTCATCTTATTTCTTTATATGTTAATGGTCAATTAATTTTTAACAATGATAAAAATAATTTATGAAGTGAAATATTCAAATATGTAGCTTATTAAATAAATTTATTATAAAATAAGAATGGAGTATGAGTTTGGCTCTTTGTAAAAATCGAAAAAAAGGTTAAAATATAAAGTTTCTTGAAACTTATTTTTAAGCATTGATTTTAAATTGGGTAATTGGCACAAAACGTCCTTACCTTTCAAGTCTATTGTGGAAAACGTCCCTACCTTTCATTTTTTGGCATTTTTGCCCTCATTTCAACCTTTCTTTGCGCTGGACGTCCTTCCGTCCATATTCCGTTAGTTTTTCCGTTAATTAAAGGGTAATTGGCACAAAACGTCCCTATCTTTCAAGTCTATTATGGAAAACGTCCCTACCTTTCATTTTTTGGCATTTTTGCCTTCATTTCAACCTTTCTTTGCGCTGGACGTCCTTCCGTTCATATTCCGTCAATTTTTCCGTTAATTAAATACAAAAAAACCTTTTTCTTTCCATAAACAAGGATAAAATTGTCCTCACCCACTTCACCCCTTTTTCCCGCCATCAACTTAGTCCATAAGTAACAGTAGCAGCGACATGAATCTGAAAATACTTTAAATGATTAAGTTAAATATAGAAAAAATATCGTGAACACATTATATTTCACAATTCCACAACTACTGTTGCTGTCATCTTGTGTCACTGGAAAATTTTAAAAAGACATTAAATGGGTAGTCAATTTATAATGAGCCAAAATGGTGAATGGCTCTTTTTGGCTCAATGGAGAAGATGAAGTTTTTGAAGTTTCTGTAATTATTTTTTTGTTTTTTTTTTTTGAAATTTTTTGACAATTGCTTCTAACTGTGATCATTAAGTGTAATTCATAAATTTTGTGTGCATTTTACCCCATTTGTAACATTTGTTTTCAATTTTGTGATTAGAAATTATGCGTTTATTATTTGTAATTTCAGAATTTTTAACATTGCTGATCTAAAAATACTATTCTAAACATATTTAAGCAAAAGAACTATTTGTGACTAGTGTTTGCAATGAATGTAACTATTCGTAACCATGTTTGTGCTTCAATCACATTGAATATATTAATGTTAAATTTAAATGATTGCGACTTGTGATGAATAATTTGTGACCTCTGCTCTACATATCCAGCTAATATGTGAATTGAAAACAATATGTGACCATTTTTATATGCATTAAATGCGACTATGTGACCAATGCTACATTCTGTGACCTATTCTATGTTAATAGTGTTTGTCTGTAACCATTTTTTGTTAATTGTAACCCTTTTTAACCAATTCAGTGTTGAATTTAACTTTTTGTGAGTAGGTTTGTGTTGGATGTGATTGTTTGTGACTTGTAATGTATTGAATGTGACTTAAGGTCCTATTGAGAAGAAGAAGTTAGCGTACGAGAGATCACAATTTATAAAATATGAAAGAAACAGTGGATATGGTCACAATTGTAGGACTTGTAACAATATGGTGCCATTTAACTAAAAAGATGATAAATTAAAGGCAAAGAAACAATCAAAGCAATTCAAATAGCTTAGTATATTTTTATTAATAACATCATGATATTCTTTATTGTTACAAGTCTATCATTTTATTCACGAATTGTATATTATTGAATAGATTGAATTAACATATTATTCAACTAAGATTTACTATTGATGCAAAAATTTTGAATTCATTATGTGCGTAAAAATTCATGTGTTGTGAATAGGATTCTGTATTCCATAAAATCTAAGCAAACTATAACCTGTTGAATGTGTTACATGACTAGGTTTAGTATACTAGTGACTATTTGTGAACAGTACTTCTCTGTAAACCAGGACTGTGTAAGTTATTATTGGTTGTAAGTCGACCTGTATTGATTGTGATTGTCTATAGTCATGTATTTCTTAACTCGCCAAATTTGTTATGACATTGAATACATGTGACCAGGTATGTTGGAGTTATTATTGTTTGTGACTATATTTGTGTAAGTTGTTATTGTTTCTGATCAGATTTGTGTAAGTTGTTATTGTTTGTGATCAGATCTATCTTAACTTTGATTGTGCGTGACCAGGTTTTTCTTAAATGTGTTTGCCTGTGAACATGTATTTCTTAATTGTGATTGTCTATGACCTAAATCGTCATAACTTTGAATATATGTGACCTGTGTTGTTTTGATTGTGGTTGTATGTGATGTTTATGTTAACATTGTTTTGTGATCTAGTATGTGAACAATACTGTTTGTGATCAATTTTGTATTAGTTGTGACTATTCAAGATCTTTTGTGTTAACTGTGACTCTCTGTGATGAGATTTATGTTAATTGTGACATCTGTGACCATGTTTATTTTCACTGTGAATGTTTGTGACCTATTGTTGTCTAACGGTGATCTATTGTTGTCTAACTGCTACTTATAATAATCAAAGACCAAACTACACGGAGAATTAAAGAGTAAATATTGTTGAGGTTGAAGATTAAACATTGTTGAAGAGTTGATCGATCATAAAATAAACACGATCTGTGGATGCTAATGCATAAAGTGTCTCTTAACACTAGGATACACTTTTAAATGCAAAATGCCTCATGCTTACACCATCCATTTCCAACAAATGAATAATCAAGAAATTTATACCCTAATTTAAGAGGAATAAAATACAGAGCCAAAACCAATACTTACCCTAAATGGGCAATCTAGTATTTTCTTGTTTTCATTTTCATATTTTATTTACGTTGTTCGTATAATGACTGAGGGAAGCTTTATATGAAGTAGCACAATAGAAGGAAAAAAAAAAAAAGCACTGTTATTCATTGACTTCAATTCACACTCCATATCGATGAAGAACAACTTTTCATGTCGGTGTTTCTCTTCTTACTATATCGCACTATCACCGCAACATTCCCTTACCTCAACTACCACCTCTGTACTGAAAGACATCATGCTTTGAAAATAAAAATTATACCTACAATTTCATGAATTGATTATAAGGTGTATCAACACAAGCAAAACTAAAAACTAAGTTATCCAAGCGTAGTCAAACATTTGCACAAATACCTTGCATACACAAATTTGTTCAATTACAAACTAAGCAAAACCCAATATCTGCCATATAATCACCAAAATTTACAAACAATATTCCCCAAAGTTTGTAATAAATATTAAGTTAAGTAGGAGGCGGACAAAGTTTTCAACCACAGAGACCAGTAGAACCAATTTGTAGTGCTACCACCACTACCACTAGCACTGCGACCAACAATCCAACACATAAATTCTAGGTCAACATTGGAGTTGAACCCATCCCAAAACTCCAAATACGTGCACCCTTAACCTAAAGTTCCAAATTCACTTCATTTTCACTAACACCTACAATCAACATTTGTATCGACACAGAAGAAGTTGAGAAAAAAAGGAAGTGTACACTCACAGAGAGAGAGAGAGAGAGAGAGAGAGAGAGGATTGTAGAATGAAAAATAAGCGAACTGTTAATCTTCTTTATCACCTGATTGGTGAAATTAAAACTGTACCACCTTAATTTTGAATCGTATAGTTTATACGTAGAGTTTGGGCTAATTTTTCCTAATTTGAATTGAAAATATGTTCTTTTTTCTTTTCTTTTCTCTTTTTAATGGGTCTCAAACAAACGCTAAGCATTGGAGTGCCATAGATTGGATTGTGAGACAATATAGTTCTTACATTTGGTAACTTGAGAAGAGTCGAGCATTTGTCTTCAGGTCTAGGATCCATGGTGATCAGTAGATTCAAGGAACCTTTCAATTGTTTTAGAAAACTATTAAGGAAAGAAAAATCCAAATAAAAATAGCTAGGCTGGAGTGTTAACAGTAGCCTAAAATTTGTCGGGTTAACAATGTTATTTTGACTTCCAAACCATGAACATGCATATTATACATGCAACTTTTGATTTAGACACCCTTCTGATGGACGATCCCAGGTGGGAAATTCAATTCCGTCCACTATCGTAGGATCATTCTTCGACTCATCCCCAAGTCAAACGTCATCTTGTCTTGCATTATCATATGACTATTACCAAATGTATTGTCATTTAAATAATCTTGTAGTTTTAAGTCCAAAAAATACAATAGTAGTCAGGGGCGGATGCCCGTGCTATATAGCCTATGTCCACCCCTGCAAATGTCTACTTTATTCTTAGTGTTTTTTTTAAATAAAAATAAATCCATGTATATTTATATTGTAATCCGTGCCCAAACTCAAGGCAATCGCAGTCATCACTTCTACTCGCATTATGTCCACTATCAAAATTATCTGTGTGTGTGTGTCAAGTAGACTGATAATATCCTCAATTTATTACGAATAACGCTTCATGCAAACAGCTAACTACATTTCATG